CTGTATTTACTATACTTTTGAATCACTGACACCGATCGAGAGAAAAACACATGCCAAATTAACAAAACCAAAAAAAAGTACAAATGACAACAGCAATGGTCGAAGTGTGCCGGTGAATTTTCACAGGTCAAAAATTTGCGAGAGGGGAAAAAACAACTCTCAACCATGGCAAAAAATAACCATACGTAGCAACGATTAAAAAGTGAATATGTGACGGTTGAAACTTTGATCAGCACGCTCTCCGAATGACCATTCGGCAGAAGAGTAGCCGCAGCAGCAACAACAAAAAATAAATGCACACACAAACTCAAAAACAAATTGTTAATAATCATCCAGTCTAAAATTATCAAGTCGTTGAAAAGATAACTTCAAAGCCGGTATCAATTTTCTGTGCAGTTCAATTAATTTCTCATTATTTCTTCTGTTTTTTTTTCCGTTGTGTTAACCAACATTCCCTTTGAATGTGGAACTTTTTTTCTCTTTCGAAGCGATAAAAACTCTTTTAACAAAAACCAAATGTCACAAATTGAAATGTAAACCGACGCACACGATTCAAACGTGTTTTGTCACAACATATTCGACGATTTCGAACTAAATTGAAGAAAAGGTAACGACGGAGAGAGAAACAAAAACATCGCCAGTTTTTCAAACTAACTACGAAATACGAATTATTATTTATCTATGTTGCGGATACGAGCAGCAAAATGATGGCTGAATGAAATAAAAATGTGTCACTCTGTGCGGACAACTCAATACACACACGCAGACACACACACACACAGTTCAGATGTCGGGTGATTTTGACTTTAATTGAAGCTGAGAAATCAAACACAAAATTAATCTGGTTTTACTTAGTTTGAAGAGACAGAGAATGGGAGAAAAAAATCATGTCGGAAACATCTATTTGAAGAAAAAAAATTCCAGATAAATGCTGGTTTCGCTCAAAATCCGATTTCTCTCATTCAATGTATATCGATCTGACATTCTAAGCGCCTAAATGAGTCCGTGTCTTTCTCTGTCTCTCACGCTCGTCCATCGCTCACTCATTCATTCGCTCTCGTATACGATTGTGCGTGCGTGCGCGCGCGATTGGTGTTGTAACAAGTCGCTGCTGCTGCTGCTGCAACGTTGCATGTTTTATTTATATTTATCTCTATGCGGTCGTTTCACAGCTAATTTTTAATTGATTCATCAACGTTGAAAACAACAAAATTAATGCGCTTCTGCATTCATATTAGATAGAGTGTAAATGATAAAAATCCATATTTAGTTAATTAAATTTCCAAGTAATTGAATGTAAATGTGCCCAAACGACGTCTCTTTTGCATATATTCGGTTTTTGAATCATTCGATGGAACGGCATCGAAGAAGAAGAAAAAGCATCGATCTGGATTTTTTTCGAACCGTTGCTTGTTCCATGCACTCACTCACTACTCTTACGTACACGTTGTTTTCTTCATTTTCAGTCAGCATTTTCCATGATTGCGGGGCAAAAGACATGTGGCACTTGGAAACACACACACACATACACGTCGCAGAATGTCGTTAATCGATGAGGCGCGGGTATGCGCGCTCGAGCGCAAAGAACAAAATGTACCAACTTATCGTCTTCCTTTTATGTTTACAATTTGTTAATTCCACTTTGATTCGATATTAATTGGATTGCGAGGATAATAAACGTAGGCGAACACCGAAATAAATAACCTTTAATTGGTTCTAATGAGAAAGCGCGGTTTTTATTAGGATACCAACGTTTGTTTTTAATTTGTGCTTATGTTTCGTTACACGTAATGGATTTATTAGATTGACAATTCGGTGCGTGTTCACGCACAATCATAACAGTCCGAAGCAGCAACAGCCTTGACCATTATTGTGTGTGGCTTGGCGACATCGTCAGATTTTCCCTTGAATACGAAATATGTTTTTTTTATGTCGTGCAGTCAACAATTTGGTTGGTGCCGATACGAAACCAACATCATCACATTACATGCAGAATTTAATCAGAGAACACACTCAGAAAAAAAAAACACATAATGCAAGACAACCAAATTCTCACAAAATGAAATGATCTGTCGTGCCAACGTCGCTTCGTTCTCAGAATGAGTGATTGTTTTTCTTCGAAATTCTATAGTTTTGCTGATTTTTCTCTCTCTCTTCTCTCGCTCTTGAAAGCAGATTTCAAATATAAAAACAGAAAAGAAGAAGAGAAGAGATGTTGGGTCCGTGACGTCGTTAACAGCAACAGATATATATACATATTCATTGGCGGCAATCTCTTTTTTCTCGCCATTGTAACATTTCTTTTGTATTTGCTCCGCATATTATACGCATCCCATTCTCGCCCATTCAACGGTCGTAAAGTAAAGAACTTGCATTTAATTAAAAGAAACCATATCATTTAATTTTTGACCATCGAATAGTTGGTATTCAAATTTCGGCAGAGGGCCCGATGGCAGAGAGAGTGTGGGAACGGCAACAAAGATGAGAGTATGAATGTTGACTGTGCTACGGAACATAGTAAATTAACACTTACTGCTACTGGCCCGAATTCATCTGGTGACAAACAAAGCGAGAGAGTGAGACATTGAGAGAGAAGAAAAAGCAGTTCGATAAGAGACCAAAAATGTGTATCTTAAATGGATGACCGTGATTCGCATGGTCGCCACGAGTTGCTCAGTGACACATAAAGTAAAACGCCAAATTAGCAATCGAAATCGCTCTTCTTCTCTTTTTTTTGGTTTTATTGTCATCGTTTCTAATGAAGAGAATTTAATGAAAATTATTTACCAACAAAATACACCGATCGACGAAGAAAAAATGACGTAACAAATCACTAGCTGCCTTTTTACACCGTTCGCATTTTGTGTTCGCCTGTTTGAATTACGACCTATAAAAACTATTTAAATTTGTCATAAAAAAAATATACAAAGCAAGTTGTTCCAACCGGTTGATGATGTTGAATCATTGCGGATTTCGAAATTTGTCCCTGTTGTATTTCGTATATGTTGTGTCCAGCACAGTCAGCACAGCATATACTGCGCATATCTACCACAAACTCCATTCCCCTCACTCGCGATGCGATTGAATTGTAGAATAAACACTGCATTTTCACTTCTACACAATTGTACGGCATCGAAGACGAAATGAGCACAGCGCTTCAATTTGTCCATCTTCAATGAGGTGTTTTGCTAAAACAACCATCGAAGTATGCAGAAATGGTGTTCACATCAAAGAAGTGAACAATAACAAATTTTATACAGAATCTCATATTGCTGCATTTCTAATATCATTGAGATATTTAGAAAATTTCCTTTACACACGTAGAAAGAAATTTCAATGAAAAATTCCAACGGTTTTTCCTTTTCATAATCATTTTTGTGTTGGCCACACGACCATGTCGTATACGAAAAGTATTGGGATCGCCTCGATTTTTTTACCCCCTTAAAATCAAGCTCTGAAAATCACAAAATCTAGCTTAGGGTCGTAGGGTAGGTGCGTGGTACACTGTACGCAAAAACACGGTAAAAATTTTGCTATGTTACAATGTATAGAAAATGGAATATTGAAATTACCCTGTCATTAAGGTCTGATTGAAATACGAATCTAATTTCAATTTAGAATTATATGTGTGGGAGTGTAGAAAAGTTAACCTTACGAATGTAAGGCAGCTTGTTTAAAATTGTAGCCATTGGAAACGGTGCATGGCGCATAGAATTTCTTCCTTCCATATGATTAGTCAAATTCCCAGAATCTACCCACCTTTGCTTTGGCACAAACGGCACATATCCAAAGAATATGTAAAACATCGCTTTTATTGCAAATAATTTCATGTGAAGGAGATTTTCAGTACTTTTATTCGCTTTTTTTGTATTGTCCTGATATTGTTTCTTTTGCGTTGTATTCCAATTTTTGCAGTAAATGGAAATTTGCTTTATTATTGAACACACAACTGATAATGCTGTGCAAAATGTCAATTTTGTCATTGGGAAATGCTAAAATCAGCATTAGAATCAGCATTGTGTTCATTTTCTCTTCAATTAGCACACTTCACATCGTGTGAATCGAATTTCCCCTTTTTTCTCGATTTGTACGTTAGCTGCAAACTCGATACACAAAAGGATGATTGCCCATTTTCTGCTGCCGCTATGAAAACCGATTCCCAAATCGAGATCATACTACAAACGATTCTAATCGAAACCAACGAATGGTTCAATGCAATTTCCAAACAAATCGACACATTCTTTTTTTTTCAATTTTCTGTTGTTCAGGGGTGTTGAGGTGCTGTTATTAGTGCATAATTGTTTCAGCTCATTTTGAATTTAAAGGGCATGAATTCTTAATGTTAAAAATAACCTCATATCAACACTCATTTTTATTTTCATTTTCAGATTGTTCAAAGCAAAACAAAAAAAATTGTGAATAATTTGTGGCTTTTTAATGTGTTATTTCATAAAACAATAAGCTAAGCGAAGTGCTTGCGGAAAATGGGAAAAGTCGTCGTCGTTGTCGCAATCGAATACAGTGTGTGCAAGTATGAAGGAGGCATCGTGTGAAATTCAGTGCGGCACTCGTTCGAAAATCGGTGAGAGCACACGTTCGGTTGGCTCGTCGCCCAAATATACACTGTATATATTCACCATACTGTGTGTGCTTGGAGGGGCATACAAGACGTTCGCACTCGTGTTGAGAATAGAGACACAGAGTGTGCATGCTTCTGCTGCTGCTGCTGCTGCTGCTGTTGGATGTGCGTACGGCATTGGTTTGTTTCTTTCTTTCGGTATCTGCGCATCGGCTTCCACAAGCATGTTGGCTCTCTGTATGTTATTATTATTGTTGTTGTGTTGCCTTTCGATGTTGTTGGTGCCTCTTTTACAACTGAAACGTCGTTCGGGCACCGGTATGGATGAGAGATATCAACGGCATGCACACACAAAAATACTCGAATGTCGTAGCAACGTGAAACATTTTCTTACTATGCTAGTTTAGTATGTGCGCGAACTTCTAATACAACGGTGGCTTTGTCGCTACTCTTCGCATTTCAATAGAACGAACGAGTGTACGAACGGACGAAACGCGATCGCGCTTTCATCGAGCGTTTGTTAACGAAACGAAAGAACAAAAAAAATCATCTCTTTGCCGATGTTGCACGGAACTAAAGAACCTATTGACAAGGTGAAACGACCAAAAAAAGAGAACGGAATTTTTGAAGAAACGTTATTGCATTTTTTCAAGCATTCATAAAGTGGCATCAAGAACATAGACATAGCTAGCAAATTCTGATGCTACCGTTTAAAAACAATATTTGAATATTTCCCTAACGAAATAATTGTGCAGACAAAAAATCGTCCAACATTGTTGTGTGATTTGAAGTTTTTCGTGCAGAACACGGGTCTTTGGTATTTGGACATTTTTCGGGCGCAGTCACATAGTGAATTTGCGGTAGCTGATCGCATAAATTATTATCGAAAGAGCAAACGATTTTCTCATCGAAAATATTTTTCGTTTGTCGTCAAACATTCAATTTAATTAAAACGAACGGGCTCGTTTTGTGCTGTTTGTGATTTTGCGGTTTGTTTTTTTTTTCATGTCCAATTCTCTAATTCGCGCAAGTTTTTAAATCTCAATGCGATTCATTTTTTGCCACTACGAAAATATCGCAGCGCGTGATTACAGTTTGTTGGTCATTTAGCTTGTTTTGAACAACGGAAAATTTATGAATTTGTGTTTGTAATTGTGTACCGGTCATAACATTTCGTGATATTACTGGTGTAATGCTGTTGAGTTTATAATACCGTGTGTGCATAATTAGGAAACTGGTGCGAAACAAACTGAACGGTAGATAGCATTTGTGAACTCTAACTGATTATGGGAAATAAATCTGACTGTTGACACGGGTTTCCTTTTGTTCGTATCGTGCTCACCAATACATTACTCACCATCCCAGCTTGAGCCCAATCTGTTGATGAATCAACGCAAATTATTAAAAGAAAGAGAATCTCAGGCGAAAAAAAAAATCATAAAAATTCCGCATTTGTGTGAGATACTCGTTTGACAAATGATAACACAGCCAACACTATTAAGTGCTTGTTTACGACTGTGATGTTTTTTTTTTCTACCATCATCTGCTAATGAATGAAGAGAAGGAGAAAAAAAAACACTGTTTGACAGCCACACAAACGAATGACTTGAGTGTAAATCAAAGTGAATGCCGAATAAGAAACAATCGTAGCTAAAAACATTTCGTGCCGATCATTATAACGCAAATAAAAAAAAACGGAATTTTTTCTATTATTGCTAAATTTTTTCGATCGATTTCCAAATTAATTGTGAATTAATGCAAATTTCCATAGGTTTTCATTTCAAATCCACGGTTCGAATTGAAAGAAAGATAGATAAAATGAAATAAATAAGAGAAATTTTTTTTAACAAATCAACGCAAACAAGAGAGAGATTGTGATTGAGACGAAAACGAACCGAAGTTCAAGTGGATACATAAACGTAAAACCAAAAAATTTTACGATAAAAATCGACAGTGAATTTATAGTTATGTTAAAGATCCATTTAATTTACAATTTGCCGATCAGATTCAGCTTCTTCGTCACGTTTTGACATATTCTTGCGCATTGATTGTGTGCTATTCTCAGAATATTTACATCTTTTCCTCTTCTAGTAAATTAAAAACCGGAAAAATATTAAACGAAACGAAAAGAGAAAAAAAAAACACCAACAACAGCAACAGCATAAACACAAGAAGTTATGAAAATTGATTTTGAGAGAAATAACTAACCAACTGTTGTCGAGGCGAGTGATTCAGCTCTCAATAATTGATGCAGTGAATTATTTAAAGTGGAAACGAAATTGTGAAAAAAAAAAAGTCAAAGTGAAGCTTTTGACGTTATGAAAAATTGATACTTATGAAATTGATAAAAACACACCAGAAATTATCATTTGAGAGAAGAGAGAGAGAGAGAGAGAGAGAGAGAGAGAGAGAGAGAGGGGGAGAGAGAGAGAAAAAACCGTTCTTGACTTGAACAAGTGACAAAGAAAACATAAACAACCAATTCCCAAACTCGATTCACCATATGCTAAGGGTGACTGAAACAGATAGTAGCAGATTGTGTATGTGTGACAGCAGCATAAACTTCTTGTGCAATCTTGTGCTCAACTCAACTGGAGAACGAGAGTAGAAACGAAAAAAAACAAGGATGCAAGTGTATGTATATTTAGAATATTTACAATCCGTTAATAAGCTAGGGAGAATTTCGTTCAATCCATGTATGTTTTTGTGGTAACACATGGAAACTGGTGTTATTTCATTGGAAACGAAAAATCCAAATAAACGAAATTTTCATGAGACTCCCATAAAAACTGGGAGAGAAAGCAGTTAAAAGGTATTAGAAATAATGTATTAAAAACGACCGCAAGAGATATTTGGAAACCTAAAAATATGCTGGGGCTTCCAACTCTTCCACACGGTTTTTCTGAAATGCATAAAAAAATCAAATTTATTCTCTGTTTATCTTTGTGATTGAATTAAATATTAAAAATGATAACGGCACTTAGCTGTCATATGTTGTCGGTTTCGGGTTTAAAGTAGGAAATGCGTTTTTTCCTTCTTCTCCTTCTTCATTTTCATTTCGGAATGTTTCCATGTTGTTGTTTGTTATTTTCATCGTTGCCAGAACAGATTATTTTCATGTTTGTGATATTCATTCCATAATTTCTCCGGTTCAGTCTGGCCTATGTGATTTTTCTCGTTCGACGATCGAAAGACTTATGTTCTATCTAAGTGATTATTATGATTATTTCGGAAAAGTAGAACATTGATACGAGCAAGAGTGACTTTGTGACACATTCGTAATGATAGTTATGATGCCTATTTGCCGTCGGGATCGTTTCAACTTGGATATATCAATGACATGATTCGTATGAAATTAAACTTCGAATTATGAATCGTTGATTGTGGATGTGACTGTGGTGTGCTGGTGTACATGGGCACGCGATCCACAATGTAATGTTGCGTGATACTACGATGACAATGACGCGTTACGGTTCAATGATGGAATTTGTATGCCGAAACGGCTTCGCATTTAACTCACCGACTTTGCTGCTCTTATGGGCCATATCAAAAGTGATAATTGATATTTTGATGCGTGTTAGTTGCTTAACTAAATCCCATTTGAGCACCTATAAAATAAATTGAAGGAAATGCGGCTAATCTGAAATACAGTTCAGGAAAGTGAACAGAAAACCTAGAAAAAGAAAACAATGCGGCAACGGAACAAAGAAGAAAAAAAGAACGGTCAGAATCAAAGTAGCTTTTTTTCAAATTGAAATCGTTATTGTTTTGTGAATGGTAGATTTATGCAATTGAAGTGTTTGTGTGCGCATTATTATATCCATTTGGGTAACATATCTTTTGATAGTTTTTTTTTTTCATTTTCTCTTCGTTTCTTCTATTCCTTTTGGAATGACAAACAAACAAGTGTGTGACACTAATGAAACCGAAAAAAAACAACACAATCACACTCACAAAACAAGAGCCGAAAAAACAGAAAAGGGAATAAATAGAAATAAAGTGGAATGCAAGACTACAAAGCAATTGGATTCGGTTATTTAATATTTCAGAAATAGCCCAAATTCGAATCCTAAATTGATTCCATTATGGGGCATGCACAATAATCCAAATAGAACAAGTATTCCCTCTAACACTCATACAGTGACAATATTAACATGTCCATAATGTATGACACACTCGAAAAATGCGTCTCTCAATGCTACGCATCATCAAGCGACATCATGATGTATATTCAGAGAGTTATCGCACGCATGCACACACACTCCGTACCACACTCGTACATGTCATTCCAGGCTCTGCACACGACGATGCCTACTAGCATAACAATCTGAATTGTTCGGAAATATTCTCTGATTTGATTTCGAAAATGCCTCGATCTCGTATCTATATATATGCACATGACAACACTCCATCGGCAGTTGGACTGGATGCTGGCAGTGCTAATGCTGCTGCTACCGCTGCTACTCAAAATCGCATCCGATAAATTTATATAAGTCGACAGCCAGAGCGATATAGATTTATGCATAATAAATTTTGCAATTGTCTGTTCATTCCATTCAATAGATTTTTGTGGGTTTAATTTTGTATGACAAATACGCCGGGCGATGAAAAATCACACGCGCGCATTATTTATGTATGGTATCATTTAAACGATACGTTTGCCGTGGCATCCGAATATCGTATATCAGCCTGAGTAATATCACTCACTCTTTCTCTCTCTCTCCCTTGCTTCCCTACTCTGGCTTGGAATATTTATCGAGAATGACTGTATTGGACTACATCATGTATGCCAAAACTATAAATTTTATCAGTTTCCACATCAAATGATCTCACTCTGTCGCACACAAATTTAGCAACCTTTTTTCCCTGCCTTCCAATTCAGTTTTCAATTGACATGAGATGGGATGAGCGAGACTGGAGACGCGCATTCGTGCCATATCACAACAGAAGATCAGATGTCAGTATAGTTAACTAAATGGCATCGACAACGGCAGCCGCAGCCGCAGCCGCACTCGCACTCGCACTCGCTCTTTCTTTTTCACTCTTGCTCTTGGTCCGGGGCATCACGAGCGCACTGAAGCGCCAGTCAGAATTTGTGGTATGTCGATACCGTATGATTTATGTATTTTCGGGTCAATAAGACATCTAATTGAATTGATACATACATAAAAACACCACATACAAAACCAATCGAACTTCGTTCAATCGTGCTATTAATAATTTCCCCTTGCCGACAAATTGGCCAGTTTTGTATCAATTGAAATGCATCAATTATTTATTTGTTTGTTTATTTTGGCGTTTAATAGGATGCAGATGTATCATACAAAACATCGGTAGAAAAAAGGCAAAGAGCAAAAGATATTTTTCCATGGAATCAATTGTTCATGTGCGTGTGTGTGTGTCTTTTTTTGTTCTATTCCGTTTCTCGTGTGGTCTTTTTTTCTCCCTGTTAATTTGATTGATTGACAAAATGATGGGTGAAGGAAAATTTAAATTGCATTCAAATGTGTACCGGCGAATAATAATTGTACAATAGTGTCAATCATTGATTTAACCCAAATCGTCCTCGTGTTACAGCATTGTTCGCTTTTCAATTTTCTCATTTCCATAAATAGACTCAGTCCATTGATTCAAAATTCGATCGAAACAATTTAAATCTCATGGTCAATTAAATTCTAAACAATCACTTATTAGTCGGGTCATTCCGAATGTATTCATTTTTGGTGAATGTCCAGTGCCCAATCAAAATTCAGGGAAAAAAAACGAAGTCATGAGACAAATTCGGGTTAATTCGAAGCGATTCCGTTTCGAGACAGAAAATTTCATTAACCAATTACTCGAAGAGATATGCCTTGCACTTGAATACACTATATTTTGCATGCACTTCAATTTTTATTTCATTCGATTTGATTCGATTTTATTTCAACTCTTTCTGATTGTTTTTTTTTCTTTTCTTCCGTTCCTGTTCATTTGCTCACTCGCTTGTTCGTCCGTTTGTTGGTAGCTGCTTTTTTTTCCATCTCCGTTTTTATTGCAATTTATTTTTAGTCCGTTTGGTTTTGCGTATTTCGCTTTCATTGACTTTTTTTCATCTTTGATGGGACATAGACTGTGTTTTTTATGGTTTATTCGTTCAATTTTCCTCTTTTCACGATTGACAGCGCGATGAAACCTGTCATGTCTCGATTTCAAAAAGCGCTGGCAAATACAAATTGACCCTTTTGTATTATTCATTTTTATTTGTTTCCTTTACGGTTTGCCGTTTGACGATGTTTTATGTGGTGTTCGGATTTTGTTTGTTTGTGTGTGTATGTGTGTGTGTGTGTATGTGTATGTGTTGAAAACAACAGTGTACCAAAGTGCGTTTTTGTTTTATTTCGAAAATCATATCATCTTAACATCTCTCGGATAATTTGAAAGCCCAATTTTTGATTTTTCTTTCTTTCTCTTCCGATCAATCGAAAAGCATATGTATCAATCTGCTCGTTCGGGCTGTTTTCGAAATGTTGTTTCGCATTATTATTAGTGTGTTCCAAATATAAATGTTTGTGTTCATATGTGGGTGGTTGATCTAAATTCAAGAAATCAAGAAGAATATTTCCCAAAGTATGCAATGCGAATAACAACAGCAGGGATTTGATTGACTGAAAATCAACGAAACAAAGACCAATAAATACACAATCACACATCAACGCAATCACCAAATGTTCAGGGTTTGAGAAACGAAAATTTTCGTGACCGATTTACGGAAAATATTGAATGAAATTTACCTATTTTCGTTTGTCCTTTCGGTCAGAGACTGGCCTTATCGAATTGAAGCAAAGAAAGGGGAAAAAATATCGATTTGAAACAGCAAGAGTAAAAGAATAAAATGCGAGCACGACCCCATTCGAGATCCAATTGTGCTGTATGTGTAAGCAGTCGCCGATATTTTGTCGAGTGGAATGTTATTGGGCTCAAGCAGCCAAACTAATGGTGGATGAATGGGTGTGCGGAGCAAAGCAAAGCAAACAAAATCAGTGTTATTAGTTTTCGATACCTTTTAAACTTTGGTTTGATTTCGATTATGCCGTTTCATCAGTGCGACTTTTCGGTGCATGTGATTGTATGAATATGTTTATCCTATGATGGTTGGATGTTTGCTTTTCAACGAAAAGGGAACACGACGATTGATAAGCCAGAGGTAAAATCGATGACGTTTTTACATTATACTCTGTCGAAGGTGTGCATTCTTTTTTCCGCTGTTTCTCACGTTCCGTTCCGTTTCGTGTTGATGGTGGTCGGTGGTGTTTCAATGTCTTCATCATGCTTGTTTCCTTTCTCAAATCATATTAACCTTTACTATTGTTGACAGTTCGACACTGAATTGTAGTTATCGTTGTGATATTTATATTTTTTTTGTTGAAATGGGCCATGTGAAAATGGCACCATAAGAACACGAATGAACAAACGAAGACAAGAGAGAAAAAAAAACAACAAAAACCGAAGAATTCGTTTTGAGAACACACCACTATTGTGTCTTGAATATCGATTTAACATATGTATTGGCAACACTTTTTTTCCTTCGAAGCGTCCACCAATCGTGAAAGTCAGAACAATAGTGCGGATGGAACCAAACAATCTTGTTGAATTCG